TGGAAATCCAGTTGCATTAGCCCACGGGTAAAACCCGTACTGATAATCTCTGATCAGCTGGTGGCCCTCTAGATACTTCAGGAGGTGGCGATTCAGAACGATCGCCTTTTTTAGGGATCGGATGTATTGAAGCGTTCTTCCAGCACTGAGGAACAATGCCGAGCGAGTATCGATATCGGAAAAGGCGCGTTAAGCTACCGGAGCCAACTCAAGGTGATCAAGGTTATTTCACCAGTGCGTGATGCATTACAAATAATAATAAACACTTCGTGGTTGTCTCGCGGATATGCTTACAAAATGATTGCAAAGACAGTGTATATTTTATTCTATCTAAACAACATTTCTTTTATTATCTCGTATCAAGCATATCTCTGCGAAATGGCATAAAGTATACGATAAGGAAACTGCTCCCTATTTAAGCGATTTGCTTAGTTTATATTTAGTACAATTAACTTATTGCTCAGGCGTATGGCCCATCACCTCACATTCTAACGAAAGATACTGTCCGAGCTGCCCATACTAAACAGTTTTTGGCGTGGAGTTTACATAGTGAATATGACAAACCTGAAACGCTTCTCGGGAGCCCCCAGGAAGTGCACATATTGTAATAGGAAAATTATGATCTAATAAGTGATATAAAATATACCACCATTTAAACATCTAATAATTGTTTTATCCTCATTGTGAACACACCGTTACTTATGAAATCTGTATAAAATTCGAGAATTTCTATAGTTTAAGCACATCCAGAAAAATGTCTTTGAGGAACTATTTCTTACTTGGTTTTGTGCTTTGCGGGGCTCTTGGTAAGCATTTCATTCTTTTAATTAGTAATTCTTATAAATTATATACGTATATGTGAATCGCAAAATATGATGCTAATTATTTAGCTAAGTATTTAGCTAAGGATTTCTAAGAGAGAAAAATAAGAACTAAACTAAATTTTTATTTCGGAAAGTCTCTATGGGGTTCCATAAGAAATGTTTTATAAGTATATGTTAGTAATAAGCTACTAAAAAGTTAGAATTAGTAAAAACTATATTAAAGCGAAATACAAACTCAAACTCAAAATATCTTTATTCATGTAGGTAAACAAGTACACTTATGAATTGTCAAGTTAAATTAATTGTAAATTTAAATTTACTACCAGTTCGCAAGTCAAGGGCGTAGAGCGGGTAAGAAGAACTGGCAAGAAACTTTCCGCCACTCTTTTTAATCGCCAAGTATTGTCATACAAATTGTTTGAACTGGAGCAAATCAATCCCAAGGATTAGGATCATTTAAGTATTCCTCAAATTTATAAAAAGCTTTATTGATTAATTTCCGTTTAACAAGGGCTTTGAATTTATTTAGGGATATCATAAAAAATAACGGGTAGTCACGGCGTTCACATTGTGTCCTCACAAAAAAATACTAAATAAAGTTAAATAGTTTTCCTTAAAAATATTTAGTCTAAAGTGCTTATCCGGCTGTAATAGCGGAGGTCCTATACCAACAAATGTTATCCACCACATCGAGTGCAGAATATAGTTAATAAGTCAAGTTTTAAAATCGTGTTTCGTGGTTTGACTTAACGGACTTTTTTTTATTTTTATTTTATTTTAATTTGTTTTGGAGGTCATTTCTACCGTTCTCATTGTCTTAATCAAACTTAACTATGGACGGTGTCATCTGGGGTTGTTGTGTGCCCATTGAAGGCAACAATGATTCTAACCTTGCTTGTTCTCAATGCGTAATGAGATACCATTATGCGTGCATGTCTCTTGATGATAGTACCTACTTTTAGTTCTGAGATTCAGCGGATGGCATGCCGTTCGCCAACTATAGTTAATGAACAAGGAATCACCCGTGAGGATATTCATAATATCGTTCAAGACGATCTTAAAGATTGTAAAATTGACGAAAGCATAACAAACGTCCTCCAGAAAGAAATGGATCCCTTCACGAAACAATTATTTACTATGAGTGAGTCAGCTAAACTAATTTTAGAACAACAAGTTGAACTTAGAAACGAGTGCGAGATACTTAAGTCTAAAGTAACTGTACTGGAAAGGGAAAGGGATGATCTTCAAGGCTGCATCAAAGATCTTAAGCTGCGTTGCGATAATACAGAACAATATCTGCGTCAAAGTTATATTGAAATACAATGCATTCCTGAAAACAAAAATGAAAACCTGATAGAGATGATCTCTATGCTTAGTACTTCAAGACTTCTTATGCGCAACAAAGCATCTTCATACTCATTACCATAACTATCAAGTTTATTTAATTCCTGCTGAAGCATATCACACTGATCTTTAAGTGAATTATTTTCTTGAAATAGCAAGGACATTTCATTTTTGAGCTTCCTGTTGCCTTCCAGCACACTTAAGAGTTCTTTTTCATTTTCTTCTCTTTCACTTGTTAATTGGGTACATAAATCCCTGCAAGACTGCAATTCAGTCAGTGCTAATTTAAGTGTAGACTCTTCTTGCAAAGCCAAGCCTCTGGACTGTATCCAATGTACAAGCGAAAAAGGTATGTATATATAGGTAACTGAAATGTGAGAGTGGTGTTTGTACTATTTATTACCTATAATAGTACGAGATCCCGCTGCAGGATTGGTGTGCTTATCGACTATTTGTTTAATACCAAATTTTTATGTTTATTTATAATTAAGAGAATATATATTTACTAGGGTGCCTATCAAAATTTGGCCGCCATTATTTTTAATTAAATTATTTTTAATTGATTTTTGGTAAAAAATTTCGTTCATTTATTTTTTAAATAAAATAACGTCTACATCACGGTAATTAATATGAAGAATCTAAAAATTCACGGGTGCCGTTGCGCACCTGGCCGCACCTCTTTGCAGCCAGGTGTAAACAGGTATGATTTCGATATAACCTATTTTTATTAATTATATGTCAAATTGAAGCTAATTTTTTTCTATTAATTATCATATAAAGTTGCTTAATTAAATCTGGCCGCAAATAAGGGCTACTAGCTGTTAAAGATAATAAATATTTAAGGTAGAGTGAAAGAGAGTTAGCGCGTAACATCATTTGTCAGACGAGGACAGCGATTGTCGGCTGTGCGACGCTTTTAAGCCATTGCGCATGCGTCGAACGTTAGTGTTTTCAACCACCGGGGAGTAATAGAGACGACTTATAATAAATACTCCAAAAAATATGTTACTTTTTTTCAAAATGACAAATTTAAAAATTACAACAAAAAATTAATATTGATTTGATATATCGACGGTCTAGTTAGCAATTTGTCTAACTCCTTATTTTTTAGAGGGTGATTTTTTTAACATTTTGATGAAGCAATAATCCAATTACAAATTATTTGAATGATTGAAACTTAAATATTATATCTCTATTAGATATTAATGATATTAAATGGTTTTTTAAAATGATAATAAATATTTAAGGTAGAGTGAAAGAGAGTTAGCGCGTAGCATCATTTGTCAGACGAGGACAGCGATTGTCGGCTGTGCGACGCTTTTAAGCCATTGCGCATGCGTCGAATGTCAGTGTTCTCAAACTGAATAGATGCAACATTTTTATTCTAACATAAAAACCACGCTGTTTTGGAGTTCGTAATAAACAACGTTTTATATTTACATTGTTATTTTATTTGTGCATCTAAAAATTATTATATTAATTAATGTAAAATAAAACTGATAAAGATGAAGTCGTGTTTTTTGTGTAACGAAAAAAGCAATGTACTCGACTTTAATAATGTATCATTCCAAAAGTGCTCGCTAATGTTATTGTTTCGTCGTAAAAAAAATATAAATATTATGACCTTTTATTTACAATTGACTCTACTAATGATTTTGGGATATCATTCAGAGTGTCTAAAAAAAATTGTGGTTCTGAAGCAAAAAGATAAACAAGAATTTGAATATTTTTACAAAACACAAACCGTAAATAAAAGTTGAATTGAATTTAAGAATAATATAGGTTATAGTTGCAATATATATGACACAGTTCTAACTTTGAGGTTTTTTTGTTAAAATTTTTTTTTTTTTAATTTCTTATTTTTATAAAAATTAATTACTGCATTTATCAAACAATTAACAAATATAATTTGATTAATGTCCTTTTTTCAAAATGTAATTAGTAAATTTTTTTTTCTTGGTTATATTAATAACTTAAAAAAAAAATGGTGCGTGTACTTATGTACGCGCGTAAGAAGTTATACTTCTTTGGCTTTCTTAATTTTTTTAAATATTTAATATTTAGTATATTATTCAATTATTAATTAATATTAATAATAATACTTATTTTTTTTATTTTATATTATTAATTCAATTTAATAACTAGGTATGTTTCATAAATCATAACCTTTAAACTATGTAACAATAGGTCTTTGTGAAAAAGCATTGCTAAATTTCTTTGAAAAAATAATTAAAACCCATTTATTTGTTTAAAAGGTACTACAAATGTCATTATGGTCATTCAAAATTCTTGGCATAGCTGCTAACGTCACGCATATTCTATTTCTTTTTACTTGTAGATTGTCTTATTCCCATCTCGCTCGCGCACGCTATAATCACACTGACAACTTTGTGTCTCAGGTGCGTGCGCATCGTAAAATTTCACTCTCATCAATTTTTCAGAACGCGCCTAAAGAAGTATAAGTTCAAAAATAGTTAATGCATAATTTGAAGACATGAATAATTTAAAAACTCTACTAATGCATTTAAAAAAAAAATTAAGATTTAAACTCAGTAATGAATTCTTCATGTGGAATCAATGAGAGCATTGTTTTACCTGATTCATTGCTTAAAATACTGGAGGGTTACAAACAGTTCCGCGAAATAACACTTCAGGGCGGCCATGGAAAGACAGCCCAATATTACTTGCAGTATACTGAACTTATTAACATATTTCTTCGATTTTCTAGAAGTATTCGTTGCAGTAATTTTGAGCTCTACTTAGATTCTATCTTCGAAATGTGTAATTACTTTTTTTGTATTCAATCAGCCGAATTATGCCAAATGGGCTGCTATGTATTTAAACAACTTAATCAAGCTGAAGGTTGAAAATTCAACTCTACTTAAGGAATTTCGTGAAGGTGCATTTGGTATTAGACGCACAAAATCATGCTTAGGCAGATCACCTGTCGACTTGACTTTGGAGCAGACGATTAATGCTGATGCCGGTAATACTTTGACTGGTGTTAGCCATTTTACAAATTCGATCGCTGCACGAGAAAGATGGGCTCTTAGTCATAGTGTCAGATTTAAAATTATGTCGTTTGTAAAAGTTGAAATCGGATTATCTCAAGCACTTCTTATACGTTACAGAAGAATCGAATCGAGAAAGACTTTTAACAATATTATTGGAATAATCAAGAAAACAATGAATCCTTTTTCAGAAAATATAGACAAAAATAGTTTGTTCAATTTGTCAACTGGTAAAGCGGCATCCTTAAATGTTGCCAATTTTTTACTCAACGTTAAGTCTTTAGGTGAAGAACAAAAGTTAAAAAAAATTTCGGAATGCTTTGAAGATTCATCAAGATTTGTGAGAACAATAACTCGTAATAAAATAAAAAACTTCGCTTCAGATTGTATTAAAAGAAGTGTAAAGAGTACCACTGGAGACAAAAAAGCATTACTTAAAATGGAACGAGATATTTTTGACTTGCTAAAACAAAAAATTTAAATTTGGGTTTTTGTCTGTTAGCAATTCCTCTACCTCCTACTATCCCTGTCAGGCGCATAAAAAAAGTTGACATTGAGCAAAAATAGCACCAGCTATTGTCGTCATGAATTCCTTGATGGTTTTTATTATTTGTTTGATACAAATTATACACATTGGCTCTACTTTGCCACAAACATTTGGAAAAATAGCAGAATCGATATTGATGAAACTTTGTTCGAAAAATGCTCCGGAAGTACACATCATATTTGATAGATATTTAACACCATCTATTAAAGATTGTGAACGACAAAATCGCAAAGGAATTGATATTTCATATACAATTAATGGCCCTTTGAAAAAAAGACCCAATGATTTTTTAAAAAGCTTGAAGAATTTTCGTTTTAAAGAAGTCTTCGTAAAATTCTTAGCTAGCCATTGGGTCGATGATTCTTTTGCTCCAATATTAGGAAATAAAAAAATTTATGTTACTGTTGGAGAGCAATGTTTTTCATATTGTTCTGTTGGAAATTTAGTAGTGAAAACTGAAGAAACTGAATTAGCATGTAAACATGAAGAAGCGGATACGAGAATTGTTTTCCACATAAGTAAAGTACCTACCTGAAAATTCAAAAATTTTGGTAAAAGCATCAGACACGGACGTTTTAATAATTTTATTAGGTAATATGCATAAATTTCCTAATTTGCATATTTGGTTGGCAAACAATTCATCAAGCAAAAGTAAAAATAAAGATGAAGTTTACATAAACTGTACGGACTTATCAAAAAAATTAGGAGCGACTTTATGTCTTGCTCTTCCTGCTTTTCACGCCTACACGGGTTGCGACTACACGGCTGCATTTTTCAACAAAGGGAAACTTCGGCCCTTGAATTTATTTATTAAAAATCCAGAAATTCAACAGGTTTTTGCGTCTTTAACGAATCCTACTGACATCTTCAATGAAAACAAAATTGATGCAGTTCAAGAGTTTACGTGCCTAGTCGATGAGCACACCAATCCTGCAGCGGGATCTTAGACCATAAATATCTAATGAAACCTAAATACACACAAAATGGGCTCATTTTGTCAAGTAAATTATGGAGTATTAATTGTCTGGGCGAATTTTTTCGTCGTCGATTTTGCTTCCACTAGTTGTCAAGCAAAATGAGACATAAACCATGCCAATGTGTGATGGACGTAGCTCCAAAAACAGAGCAGTATTTTGTGATGTTATGTAGTCAGTAAATATAACTTAAATAGAACAAAATACTCCACAGGTTTGACGATATTTTAAACTTCGTTACCGTTAAGGCGTTGAGTTGACAGCCGGTTTTAGATCCCTGTTTTGCCAAGTTCTCGCGACAAAAACACTGTATAATCACTTTATATTATACACAAATCTTATTTTTAACTATATTACCCTAATTTAACTAAATTTAAACCCTTAAAATTATTATTTTTTAAAATTAAATGTAGAGGTTGTTATCTTACATTGCGGGGACAGCGAGTAGTAGTAGTCTATGATGAATGATCTATCATTACATCATCATGATCATACCACGTCGGTCGGTCACACCATGCTAATGTCTTGTCCCAAACCAAGACGTCTATACAGGGTGGCCAAAAAGTCGTGGATCAAACGCAAATAGGGGATAGATGAGGTCATCAGCGGCAAAAAATTGTTCTACGGGAGGTCTCTAAGGTCAACCCCTGCAGAGTTATGATTTATTTTGCGTTTTATAAGAAAATTGACTTTTTTTTACTAATTCTTATTAAAATTCGATAAAATCTACATCCTGTATATTTTTCATAATATCCACTAGATTGGTGCTGATGAGTTCTTGCTTAACACATACTATTTATAGTTGTTTATTGAGTGTATTGAAGATAATATTAAGTTATACGATATAATTTTTTTTCAAATCAAAACTTTTTGTTTACTTCAGACCCCTCTGTGAAAAAAAATTACTCTACCGAAAAGTGACCCTGTATTACAAGTTTTGGCGCATTTCATAGGAATTCTGAAAAGGTATTACACATGGCCATGAGTCACTCTAATATCTTTCTAGGACGAAAAAACAACAACGATTCGGACTTATGATAGATTATTAACCTACATGGGACCAGTACTGTGTGAATCGGACTAGATTCAAAAAATTAGACAGATGGCTGGAGGGTTACGTAGGAATTTGATTAGACGGTGCAGATTAAGTATTATGGTCAGAGTCAGGAATTTTGAGCATATTTTATTGTAAAATATTTTGTTTCATACAAACAACCATTGAGAAATAATTGTTTTAATACAATTATTATTTCACAATCTTTGTTTGTAATTCTTCCTAGAAAGATATTAGAGCGACTCATGGCCACGTGTAATACCTTTTCAGAATCCCTATTAAATGCGCCAAAACTTGTAGTACAGGGACACTTTTCGGTGGAGTAATTTTTTTTCACAGTGGGGTCCAAAGTTAAGAAAAATTTATGATTTGAAAAAATGTTATATCGTATCACTTAATATTATCTTGAATACACTCAATAAACAACTATAAATAGTATGTCGAACGCAAGAACTCATCAGTACCAATCTAGTGGATATTATGAGCAAGATACAGGATGTAGATATTTTCGAATTTTAAGAAGAATTAGTAAAAAAAAGTCAATTTTCATATAAAACCAAAATAAATCATAACTCTGCAGGGGTTGACCTTAGAGACCTCCCGTAGAACAATTTTTTGCCGCTGATGACCTCATCTATCCCCTATTTGCGTTTGATCCACGACTTTTTGGCCACCCTGTATATATGCTTATAAAATAATATTTTCTTGTTAACGTTAAACAAATTACTTTCGAGGAGAAAAATGAAATTTTATAAAATATAATTTTCACTATTTCATTTTAAAGCCGCAAAAATATCAGCGATCGAAGACCCCGAAGGCCGCGTCGTGGGTGGGACAGACGCACCAGATGGGGCTCTGCCATACCAAGTATCTCTACAGCGTTCAGATCAAAATAACTTCGCATTCTGTGGTGGCGCCATCATTGCTAACAGATGGATCCTCACTGCAGCACATTGCCTCCAAGGGTAAGCGTAGGATTCGATTATGAGTACTTTTAAATAAAAATTTATATTAACTGTTTTAGTAAATTCTCGAATAAATATTTATTATCCTTCGAATTAAATAATTTCTATTGGCGTAAAAATATTTTTCAGCGTATCGGCAAAAGATTTAAGCGTTTTGGCAGGAACAAACAGCAAAAGGTCTGGAGGTATCAGATACAAAGTTGACAAAATTATAAATCATGAAAAATATACCAATAGACCGAATGTTAATGATATTGCTCTGTTGAGAACCACAGAGAACATTAAATTTACCGAAAAAGTTAAAGCTATCGAAATAGCCACGGAAGACCCCAAACCAGGAGACTTGTGTAAATTATCTGGATGGGGATTCACCACCGTAAGTATAATCTTAAAACATAATTTCTCTCTATACATGACGAAAAAAATGTAACCAAGCGGCTTATAACGGGTGTTTTTTTTAGAGGTATAGAACTTTAAATTGCAATAAATCAACGATGGATTATTGGACTGACATGATTTGTTTTTTATTTGAAAGATAATCTTGTGGCATTAAATTTTAAACATGATTTCTGGCATATGACTGCCACGGCTGGCTCGGATATAGTCCAATCTGGACGTCCAATTTTCGATGACTTTTTCCAACATTTGTGGCCGTATATCGGCAATAACACGGCGAATGTTGTCTTCCAAATGGTCAAGCGTTTGTGGCTTATCCGCATTGACCAATGACTTTACATAGCCCCACAAATAATCTAGCGGTGTTAAATCACAAGATCTTGGAGGCCAATTCACAGGTCGAAAACGTGAAATTCGGCGGTCACCAAACGTGTCTTTCAATAAATCAATAGGGCACGAGCTGTGCGACATGTTGCGCCGTCTTGTTGAAACCACAGGTCTTGGACATCATGATTGTTCAATTCAGGAATGAAAAAGTTAGTAATTATGTCTCTATACCGATTACCATTGCCTGTAACGTTCTGGCCATTATCGTTTTTGAAGAAGTATGGACCAATGCTGCCACCAGCCCATAAAGCGCACCAAACAGTCAGTTTTTCTGGATGTAACGGTGTTTCTACATACACTTAAGGATTAGCTTCACTCCAAATGCGGCAGTTTTGTTTGTTGACGTAGCCATTCAACCAGAAGTGCGCTTCATCGCTAAAAAAATTCGCTTATGAAAATCGGGAACAACGGCAATCTCGTTTTTGGCCCATTCGACGAATCTACGCCTTGCTTGATGATCGTTTGGCTTCAATTCTTGCACAAGTTGGATTTTGTAAGCACGCAAACCAAGATCCTTCCGCAAAATCTTCCATAACGTGGATGGACACAGATCCAATTCCTGTGCTCGATGGCGGATGGACTCATTCGAGTCTTCCTCAATGCTACGCTCTACAGTAGCAATAGCTTCTTCTGTACGCACCGTACGGCGTCTCTGGGGATGTGAGTTATCAATTAGAGTAAACGTGGTGCGAAAACGATCCATGGTTAATCGAATTAACTGCTCTGATGGACGATTTTGTCGACGATAAAATGGACGTAGTGCGCGATACGTATTCCGCACAGAACCATTATTTTCGAAATAAAATTGCACAATTTACAAGCGTTGTTCAGGCGTGAGTCTATTCATGATGAATTAACAAACCAAACTGAGAATAAATCATTTGACAGCTGTTAAATCGGTCGCCATCTTGAAAAGTAATGCCAACTTAAAGTTCTATACCTCTATAAAAACATCCTTTATAACTGGATAAATAAACCTTTTATCATGGTAACGGCACAAACTTCGGGTCAAGGATTCAGCTACTGAAGTATTTTCTGACTAATACAACCAAATGTACCAATTCTTAAAAGGTTGACAACGCATCCGTGAGTGTCCATGGGTAGCGGTATCACTTAACATCAGGTGACCCTCCTGCCCGTTTCCCACCCGTTATATAAAAAAAATATGATTTATAAAGGTTCAAATTGTAATAAATCTAATTTTTCCAGCAAAATAAAAGAAGGAGTCCCGACAGATTGCAATGGTTGGACGTAAAAATTATATCCGAGAAAGACTGTAAAACTTCTGATTTGAAACGCTTTGAAAAGATTTTCCCTATTACTGAAAACCACATCTGTACTCTTAACAAGATAGGCGAAGGTACTTGCCAAGTAAGTAATTATTGTTATCAGGTCCCGCCAAGTCGTGCAAGCAAGTCCTAAATCTTTTTCTCGAAAGAGGTCCGGATATGCGACCCCCCTATAACTTCGTTGTGCAAGCGTCGAAATACGCCTACTACATAAATAACTTAATCTATTTGCAGTCAAAATCTATTATAACGACATCGATGGGACTACTACTATATTTGGTCGTAAAAACCGATAGTCGTAACAGCCGGTGATGTTGTTATTAAGTACTAAATACAATAGAATTCAGCCGGAACCTTTGATTTTGGTCAATATAAACGGTATGTTGTTCCGATGTCGTCGTAAACGGTTTTGACTGTATTTAAAACATACTCGTACATGATTTTCATGTGATATGGTCACTATAAGATGTTCTTAGGTTAGCTAATTACGTTATTACTTAAGATAGAAGGTCCTGAACAATTAACCGACTTTACTGTACAACTGTGTTTTTGTTTTGTTTTTTTACAAGTTGAGTTTTTCGTGGCACCTTTATTATTATTACTCAATTTTAAGACATGTCTAATATAACTAAAGAAAATCGTGTCCCTACATAATTACCTGTTTCATCTTAACAGAGTCGGATGTATATCTTGGTTCGATTCCTTACCCTACAATGGACTTTCTGTCTATGTGCGCATTTAAGACTCGCTCGTATGGCAAAGGAAAACATCGTGAGGAAACCGGCATGCCATAGACCCAAAAAGTCGACCGTGTGAAATAATTTCAGGCGGGAAGGTTGATCACCTACTTGCCTATTAGAAGTGATCACGGAACAGATACATAAATCGGTATAAACTATAAATATATATATTTACCAAGAGTTTTTTTACGCCGGCTTTTTCTCTCGGCCTACACCCTCTGCCTTCTTTGACGATGAGGGATAAAAATTTAATAACGTGAAATAAGTGATATCTGTATCTTATATTATATAATAAACTTATTTTATATTATGTAACTCAGAGATAATATTCGAAGGACAATCTGGAAATTGGACCTTTTATGTTTATTCGTTGTAATGTTTGGAATGTCCACCTTTCACGCTCTCTTAAACAAAGATCTAACTGAACACGATTTCAGGGTGATTCTGGTGGATCCTTGGTGTGCAACAACAAATCTTGTGGTATAGTCTCATGGAACATTCCGTGTGCTCGTGGAAAACCTGATGTCTACACGAGAACCACCAAATATTCCACTTGGATTAAGGACAACATGGAGGCAAATAAGCCCTAATTAAGTCACGACAATTGATGTTTTACAATGATTTCTTATTAATAAATGTTATATTGTATATGTTATGTTGTATATGTTATATATCACACGCAATTGGGAACACATTGCGGGTAGTCACGGCGTGCACGTTGTGTCCTCACAAAAAAATACTAAATAAATAGTTTTCCTTAAAAATATTTAGTCTAAAGTGCTTATCCGGCTGTAATAGCGGAGGTCCTATACCAACAAATGTTATCCACCACATCGAGTGCAGAATATAGTGAATAAGTCAAGTTTTAAAATCGTGTTTCGTGGTTTGACTTAACGGACTTTTCTTTTCTGCAAATTTAAATCAAAAGTGTGTGGCAGTGCTATTTGCTTAGAGTAACGGACTTTAATTACCAAAACTTTAAGGACTTGGTGTAAAGTGTATACGTGACTTGCGATAAATCTTGCATTAGTCACTTAACAGTATTATAGTATCTCAAGGAACTGTACTGTATATTCGCATATTAATTCACTGCCGTGGTGGCGCAGCGTTCTCGTCGTGGTGCTCAAAACCCTACACGACGCGAGATCAAATACTAATCGTCGACCTTATGATTTTTTTCTTTTTGTTTCAATTTCAATTAATTTCTATTAAAATAAATATTAACTGGTTTGTGTGTGTGGATCTTCGTCAACTCATCAAGGTGCAGAAGTCACGGAAGTAGCTGAAACGCCCTGAAAGCCGGTCACTTGCCGTCGGAACATTTAGGCCTACAAACTAAAAACAACTAACTAATTACGATGTCAGTTCGCCGCTCTCCGCCTAGAATAGCAGATAAGTTGGATGTCCCCGTCTCCATCACTCACTACAACTCTGACTCGGCCATCAACCTAGGTATGGCTAGTAATTCATCTAATGATCAATACTTCAATGTTACTACAAGACAAAAACGTAATATTAGTGAAATGTTACCAACCAACAAGGTTCACCCTTATCCGAATTGAAAACCATGGTTTCTGAAATCAAGGATCAACAGGATAATAAATTCGATTTATTAAGCACCACCCTTATCACTATTATGACTCAAAATCAAGAAATACAAAAATCGGTGGAGAATCTTACATCACGCCACGACGAACTATTACAAAAAATTAGCGACCTTGAAGAAGACAAAGATAAGCTCAAGCAACGTGTATCTTCTCTCGAGTCTAAGCTAGATCTCCTCGAGAAGTCCTCTTGTTGCACAAAGATTGAAATGCGTAACTTGCCAAAGCAAGAAAATCAAACAAAGAAAATCTTAATTGGTTCTATATTGAGCCTTGGGTCGACGATCGGTCTGGACATGCCCGTATCCGAGTCTGAAATTAAGAACATCTTTCGTTCTAAGAATGAGGCTATAATAGTTGACTTTACTACCACTTCCAGAAAGGAAGATATTATCACCAAATATAAAAATTATAACAGACTACAACGAGCAAACAAACAGCCCCTTTTAAATACTGACATCTTCAACCTGCCTGGAGCTCCGAAGACAATATACGTATCTGAACTTTTTACTAGCAAAGCAAAACGACTATCTTTTGTCGCACAGGAGTACGTCAGGGGAAAAAAACTTGTTGCTACCTGGACCTCATATGGGAAGGTGTACGTTAAAAAAGAAGAAGGATCGGCCGCCTTCCGTATAGAAGAAGAATCGGACCTGCATAATCTTTTTTTGTGACTAGCTATATTGCTAGTAGCTAGTTTGGTTCCTCTTTGCAATTATTTTTCATCAATTTGTTTACCCTTAACTATTCTTACTGTGCATGCATTTATTTTATATATATTTTTCGGTTATAACAAACAATTATACTACTTTTAATATTACTTATTATCAATCTACTCACCACCTATAAAACACACACACAAAATGTACTGTTTGTATATATATACAGTACAGCACACTGTATATATATACAGTACAGCACACTGTATATATATACATACAATTCATAATACACGGGCTTGCAAAACAAACAAATTCACTTCCACTCTGCCGCACAAAACAGTTCTAAACCTCTCTCTTTACCCTACCATGACTTTGTCACATCTCACACATAGGCTACTTATCGATCTCAATGTTTATATCAAATCTTTGTATTACTTTTATTTTTTCATTGTGGTTCTAAAGTTACGTAGATTATTATCCGTGACTGCCAATATTATTTTTAACATTTCGTCTGTAGTTCGTAAAAATGAATAATCCTTCAATAAACATTGATCTTGATTCTATACAAGTAGCCAAGCAAATTGTATGTAATGTAGATGACGCAAATAAATACATAATTAATTCGAATAACCACTTAAAATTCTGACACAAAATATACGTAGCATTAATTGTAATATGCCAAATCTCTCAACCTTATTACAAAGATCAAAAATTCCGTGGGACTTTATAGTTTTAACTGAATGTTGGTTATCTCCAACTAGACCAATACCTAACCTTGAAAACTATAACTATGTATCGACAACTGAACACAAAACGCAAAATGAGGGTATTGTCATATATTATAGCAAACAGTTGAAAATTACGCACGAAGAACCCAAAGTTAGTGATGCAAACTGCCTCATGATTAAAATAAACAGTGATACATGTATAATTGCCATATACCGCCCGCCCAGTGTGTATAATACCTTCGACTTCATTAATTCTCTCAACCAACTTCTTTCTCGGGTAAAAAATTTTAAAAACATAATCTTGTGCGGGTATATTAATATTGACACTGTTTCAAGTAGTCCCGACAAACGTTCTTACGAATATTTAAACATGTTGGCGAGTCATTGTATACTTCAAGGTAATTCCGTACCCACCCACGGTAAAACTTGCCTGGACTGGATAAAAACTAAATCAATAGCTAATTGCATAATATTCGAATCATCAATTACTGATCACGAAAGTGTTGCACTCAGCATTGCACAACGATTACCCCCCCAATTTCAAAATAAAAATGTTAAGCGCGTTGACTATGAAGGGTTAGATAAAGATATAATAAGCCAAAATTTTCAAAACATATTAGAATGTAAAGATGTAAATATTGCTACTAGCCTTTTGATTAACTTTATTACCACGGCCTTGCAAAGAAACACGAATTTAACTAAAATCCCACGAAGAAAATTTATTAGGAAACCCAGGATAACCCCTCAATTATTGAGATGTATGAGAAATAGAGACAACCTCCACAAAAAACTCAAAAAAGACCCCACAAACGACATTCTCATTATATCATACAAGCGGTATAGAAATTTCTGTACGTCACTAATCAAAAAGGCTAAAAGAAATTACGACAGACTAGAGCTTCAAGCTGCTAAGGATGATAAAAAAAAGCTATGGGAAGTAATAAAAGAAATAAGTGGTTTTAGGAAGCCTACTGATCATTCTCCATGTCTTATATCTACCATTAATCCGAATAAGTCCGTCAACGAAGTTAATAGTTTTTTCGCCAACGTAGGTAGAAACCTCGCAGAGAAAAACCCCTACAATGATCCTAATTTGCCTACATTTAATTCAGAATCCTCTCTTAATTCTCCACTTAATTCATTTGCCTTGTTACCTACTCATGTACACGAATTTGCTCAAGTTATTAGTTACCTGCGGGATAATTGCGCCGTAGGTTTTGACCAAATTTCTGGTTCGTTCATTAAAAGATACGAGTCGCAGTTGGCACCTATCATAACTCACATATGTAACTTGGCTTTCAACACAGGAGTATTTCCGGATTCTTTTAAAACAGCTATCATCAAACCCATTCACAAAGGTGGTGAAAAAAAAATCGCGTTGATAACTTCAGACCTATCTCTATCCTGCCCGCAATGTCTAAAATTCTAGAACGTCTAATTAATAACAGACTGATAACGTATCTTGAAAAGAATGAACTCCTTTCACCTTCCCAATTTGGTTTTCGTCGAGGAAAGTCCACAAGCAGTGCTGTACAAGACCTAGTAAACTCTGCAGTTTCTTCATTAGATGGCAGAGAGAAATGTCTGGCTATTTTTATTGATATGGCCAAAGCATTTGATACTGTCTCCATCCCACATCTATTATCTAAACTAGAAATACTTGGCATGCTAGAAATACATGGCTTCGTGGTTTACCTTTAAAACTGCTAACAAACTATCTTAGTAATAGAAAACACAGAGTCAAGGTCGAAAACCACATTAGTGATGAGTGTGAGGTTAAGTTTGGCGTTTCTCAAGACAGCATCCTCGGTCCTACCCTATTTTTGATCTACATTAATGGCCTCTGCCAGCTTAACCTATATCAGGGCAAAATCTTCACCTTTGCTGACGACGACAGTGGAGACAACTGGAATGAGGTATTTCGTCTAGCTCAGATTGGCTTTCAAACAGTATCCAAATGGCTTCATCACAATATCTTAACGCTAAATGTATCTAAAACTAAATTTATAACTTTTGCCATGAGATCAAATCAACTTCCACCTCCTTCGCTGGCCTTATACGCTCAATGCTCATGTACCAAACTGTAACTGCAATATCTCCCAGATCATTTGTCCTAATCTCCAAAGGACTGACCACTTCAAATACCTTGGTGTCGTAATCAATCAAAAATTAAATTTTAGCAGGCACGTCGAATCCCTGGTATCAAAATTACGTAAACTTATTTTTGTCTTCAAGAATCTCAAGCATATCGCTGATCGCAAGGTCCTTAGGATGGTATTCTATGCTTTATGTCATTCTTTGTAGGTGTCATTCTTATTCATTTCGTGGTGTATTGCATACCCTCGTGGGGAGGCGCTGCCAAAACATACCTCATTGAGGTCGAGAGAGCGCATCGTGCCATCTTGAAAGTAGGTGCAGGACTCCCCTTTCGCTTTCCCACAGCTGACTTATATAAGGATTGGGATTTATTATTTGTTAGACAAACTTTCATCCTATACACTATTCTTACAAAGCATTCTGAGATCGAATACGATCATAAACTTGTAGATAGAAGGCGTAGAAAGGATACCGTATGCCGTCCTCAACTTTTCAAAACAGCTCTTTCCCATAATTCGTATTGATTTCTAAGTACCCATTTATACAATAAACTTAACAAAGACCTTCAAATCTATCATCTCACAAAATACAATTGTAAAAAAGTAGTAAATGAATATCTCAAATCGCTTAATTACCAAACCACAGAAAATCTATTACGACCCCTAATTTAATTTAATAAATGGAACGTTTTTCTCGCCCACACTAGTAACAATCACACACACACGCACTCACACTGACCCGTACACTCACACACACAACACTCACAAATGCACACACGCACACACTCATAAACTAGACTTTTGTTTTTGTTAACTTTTTTCTATTTTTTTTATATAGGTATATTTTTATTTTATTTTCTTATTATAAATTATTTATTGTACGTTTTTAAAAGTTGTATTAACAATACTTTTTGCCGATATGTCCAAGAGGGACTGGTGACTTGTAATAACAGGTTTTCCCAACCTTTTTCAAGCACCAGTCCCTCACAATAATAGATAGCATTAAGTTTATTGTCAAGTATATTGTCAAAAGAAAAGATCTTAATGTACCACTTTAATAATAATAATAATAAAGCCATTTATTCCAAAACTTGCTTATGTTTTACAATGTTGTTAGTACTACTTAATTGCTTAAATTTAAAAAAAATGGTTACTTACAATTACCGTTAGTATTATTATTTATGTACAAGGTTTGGATCCCTGTTGGGTAAAGGCCTCCTCCATCCTTTTCCATGACTCCCTGTCTCTGCCTATTTGTATCCAGTCGTTTCCTGCGACGTGTGTTATATCATCAGCCCACCGTCTTAATTGTCGACCAACATTTCTCTTCCCCATGGGTCCTTTCCATCGTGTGGTTTCAATGGTCCATCTTCTGTCTCGGTATCGTGAGATGTGTCCAGCCCATCTCCATTTGAGTAAGAGTGCGTGCCTGAGAGCATCAGTTAATTTGGTTTTTGACGAATTTCTTCGCTCCTAATTTTGTGTATTTTCCTAATTTTCAGCATACTCCTTTCCATTGCTGTTTGGTTACTTTTAATTTTTTGTTTTATTTTATTTGTAAAGGTCCAAGTTTGGCAGCCATACAGCAAGCAAGGTAACAGGCATGTATCAAATATTGTCCTTTTCATGTGTGAGCTGTAATTGCCTTTTAAGATTTCTTTTAGTGCCCAGAATTTCTTCCAAGTTGTGTTGATTCTCCTTGTCACTTCTTCTTCGTTATTTGAAGTTTTGAAGGAAATTTGTTTGCCCAAGTATATGTATTGCCTGACGTATTCTATATTATTACCTTTTATCACTATCTGGCGCTCCCGATTGTTCGTTAGTATCTTCGTTTTATTTACATTCATTTCAAGGCCGATTTTGGAACTTTCGCAGTCCAGTGATCTCATCATTTCGTCTAAGTCTTTTTGCAGTCTCAGCAATAACAGCAATATCATCTGCGAACCTCAGATTGTTTAAGTATTGTCCGTTTATGTACACTCCGCTGTTCTTCCAGTCTAGTTTTTGGAAGATAGTTTCAAGGACTGCTATAAACAGCTTCGGGGAAAGAGGATCACCTTGTCTAACTCCGCGTTCTATGTTTATTTCGTCGCCTCTAGTTTCTAATTTAACTCTGCTCGTGCTTTTTGTATAGATATATTTCAAAACATTGATGTATTTCTGGTTGATATTTGAATATTGTAAAGCG